CGAGTAAATTATTTTCATTCCTCAGGAGTGTAACGTTGTAACGTCGAAACATGTAGAGTCGTCAACTTTTTGAAGGCCATAGATAGGCCTAAATAAAATGTTTTTAATTGTGTACCAGTTTAACGTTGAATATTATTTATGATTATAATATATACGTTTTATAAAGCTAAGTTATTTTAGTGGTTTCACTAAACATTTTTCTGCTGTTTAGAAATGGCTACATAATTAAAAGACAAATGAAATTATAAGTGCCTTTACTTCTATAATTGACTGTACAGTTAAGTATCAGTGTGGACAGTAAGTCTGAGAATGCATTGAAGCTTTTACAATTGTCCATTACGAGCGTAGCCTAGTAGTTAGCATGTCGGGCTGCGAACTGAAGGGTCGGGGGTTCGAGACGTGATGCTGCTGAACATTTTCCGCACTTTCAGCCGTGAGCGCGTTATAAAAGTGGCATTCTTGTTATTTGGTTCAAAGAGTTGCACAAATCCCTTGTGGGGGTGGTTGCTGCTGGCTATCTGCCTTTCTTTTGGTCAGTAGTTCAAAATTAGAGACGGATATGCCGAATTCCAAAGTTTTCTGACGTGGATGTCTGTCTTGCGTTCAGGCTGAAAATTCCAACGTCCGTTGTGACTGAGATACGACTCTAAACAGATCTAACAACCTTCTGTTCTACGACTCTACACAGATCTAACAACCTTCTGTTCCACGTCGATGGTTTAAATAGCATATAACAATTATGTTAATACAGGACAATCGAAGTGACGCGGGAGGATAACAAACCCGTATTTCTACCCCTATTGGTGGAAAGGCGCGCACTCCAATCACTCCCAACTTAAAAACAGCTGGTATTCCAATGCAAATGTAACGATAAAATGCTAAGTTGTCGTTGGCTAATAACTTCTTGTCGTGTATCAGACACTTAGAATATCTAATAAATGGACACAGCTTCCTGGTTTTTAGTAATGGCCTTTTAGGTTTAGTGTGGGTATGATTGGTAGTATAGCTTTGTACGAATCTAGCGGAAACCAAGAATGTCGTGTCTACTTTAAACTTATTTCATCTCGCCAAGATGAAGTCGGTGTGCGTGAATTGGTGATATTTCGGAAGTTCGCGTACATCCTGAAAAAATACGCGCCAGTAACACGTCAGTCACTAATGGCGCTTTTCCTGTGAATATTTGGCCTTTTTTTTTTTTCTTTACGTATAAACTTGGGAAATGCGATTACGAACTGGTTTGAATCTGTCCGTAAAGTAATATGAATTTATAAAATAATTATTGTTACGTCTCCGTATTACGCCTACGATTACGAACTGGTTTGAATCTGTCCGTAAAGTAATATGAATTTATAAAATAATTATTGTTACGTCTCCGTTT